AAGATCTGAAGGAGATGCCGCCCTGATGCCTTTAGAGGGGCGGAGGTGAAGCTGGATGGAGACACGGGCTCTCAGCTAAGCAAAGATTATTACATTATCTCCACCTAAGGAGAAGGCTGTACATTCCCTCGGGAGCCCACCGAGTTCTGACACAAGGGCCCTGCTCTGTAGGCCATCCCAGCACCGTCCTTGAAATCATCTGGATGCCCGTCCCAGGCCTATAGGGCCTGGGTCTGACGTGCCTATTCCTCCGGGAACACGATCTGTACCCGGGCGCGGGAACTCTCGGCAGCTGGGCAGTCCCGGAGGCGGGGAGCGCGGGGTCGGCTGGGGGGGCGCCGGGAGGACCCCCGCGGAGCCGCCCGGCCGCCTCGCCAAATCCCTGGTTGCGACTTGTGTGCGAATCGTTAGGAGTGGGCGGGAGGACAGCCCCACCGAGAGCCTCTTCACCAAAGAATCAAGTTTGACGGCGGGGGATGGGGGTGGGTAGGGGCGGGAATCCATCAGCTCCGCAAAGTGACGAGGCCCTTTTATCCTAAATCAAGTTCAATCTCGCGCTCGCTAAGGTCCTCTTCTTTCAGTGGATCTCCCGCAGGGGCGACCTGCTGTCGGGGACCAGATAGCAGTGGAGTCGCGAGAGTCCCAAGCCCGTGGGGAGATGGCGCGCGGTGGGAGCCGGGGTGGGGATCCGGGCGGCGGCAGGTGCAGGGCGACCGCCGCGGGAGCGCTTCTCCTGGGCCTACACCGCCTCGGCTGCGGCTCGCCGAGCGCGCTCGGGGCTGTGCGAGCGGAGGAAATAAATGCCATTTAGAGCGATCCCACTAGCGACCTTGCCGCAGCCACGACGCCAGGGCTTTGGAGCAGCAGACCTGACCCCCCTCCCCGCGACTCCAGTCGGCTTCCACTAAGAACTTATTAAATAGGGACGGTTTAGAGTTGATCTGTCACTGAGCACTACTTACCCCGAGATCTTTTGGTTTTTGAATTACTTTATTGATCTGAAGATTTTGTTCTTTGGAATGTGACCCTGTTTGGACTTAGAGCTAATCAGGAAACGCTGCCGGGGAGGGCTCTTTGTAATCACTCGCAGACCTCCCCCGCGGGCACCGCCGACGATTCCTGGGCGTGCCCCCCGTGGCCGCCTAGGCTCTGCCGAGAACCCGCCGGCCCCGGGCACCTTGCTCCCTAGCGCGCCCAGGGAGCTGTCTGTGGTGCTAGGAGAGAAAACTCGGGAGGAGACCCAGGGGGACAGACAAGGAGACGTAAGAGAGGAGAGAAACTGAGAATGTGAGGTTGACCGAGACGGTCCAGCCATCAACAGTCAAACTGACAGAGACCTTCAAAATTCAGCCGGAAGGAGGGGAGGAAAAAGTCCCTTCTGGGTCATCTCCTTGCCCTGAGACAGCTGACCCGGTTTTTCAAAGCAAGAAGCCAATGGCACCTCCCTCTCTCTGAAAGCACATCACCGCGCCACACACACACACACACACACACACTCTCTTACCCCTACCCAGCCCCCAAGGCATTTGGTCTGCTAGAGCTAAGAAGGATGTGGGCTAGGTGCTGGGCCCTGGAGGGAGGCCCCAATTCCAGGAAGAGACACAAATGGTAGAGAGGAAGTCTGGAGATGGCCATGGAAGTAGGACTGGACAAAGACCTAGTGGAAGACTCAATGGGTGGGGACATTTCCAGAGTCCAGAGGTCAACCCTGGAGAACCTCCCCTCCCCCATCTGCCTATACCTTTCTCTAGTCAACAGCCAGGACATGAGGCAAGCCAGCTGTCCCTCACCAAGGATGCAGAGCTGCAGAGGAAACATCAGTTCCCTTTGAGGGGCAGTTGGCCCTGCCCTTGACTGTGTCTACCAGTGGTTAAAAGCTGTTTTTTTCCAAGCATGTTGACTTCAAGCCGTGCCTGGCTTTTTCAAAAACCAAGCAGCTCTCTTCCAGTATATTTTTGTAACCACGTGGCTTAACAAGAACTAAAGTTTCCTTAGCCCTGGGGAGAGCTTTTCCAAATATTTTTAGAAAGTTAAAAATATAATAAAACAAACTACTCACAAGCCGCCTGTTTAAAGAGGGGAGGTGGGATCCAGCAGGCTCCTGGGGAAGGGCTGCCTAGGCAGGAGTCATTTGGCAGGGAGGGAGGAGGGAGAGTAAGGAATTTTATTTACAAGACAGGATATCCGGCTTTCTAATTTGCCACGGGGGGCTTTCATTTTAAGGGGTGGAGCAAAAATAAACTGAAACAAGCTGTAGGTATATTGGCTGGAGGCGTGGAACCCAGTAGCGATCATTACTCTTTGAAAATCGGCTGGCTTGGGCTAGAACAGCAAGTTGCTAGCCGGTGAATTACGTTCTTCCTGAATACTTAGCAAAGATTTGTGCTGGGTTTTCTGGGGTCCCTAACCTGATCTTGGAGTAAGCAAATCTAAAGGACTTCCACGGTTTTTTAAATATCTCTCTGAAACACGCTCATATTCCTCTATTTCTGAGGAATCACAGATGGCCACTGAAAAGTCTGTTTTGCTAACCTCCGAAGAAGCAACACACATGGAGTCCAGCCATGGAGGGCCCTTCAGACACCAGCTGAAGGTGGGAAAAAGAAAAGGAGTGCAGCTCTCAGAAACAGCTGTCCCTCGAGGCCTCTATAACTAACTCCAGATCTCCCATGAGAAAAGTCCTTTGCTTGTATGCTTGATCCTTCCATGTCAGAAAACCTTTGGTTGCCCTTCTTACCTCTTAGCCAACCCCCCAATTTGGTTGACCAGGCCCAGAAGAAAAGAGTTCATGTCTGACTTTTAAACAGCAGTTCAGGGACTAATGAATACTAGGGCAGCAGGTGCCCTTTGCAGTACTGCAAGAGAACCAAAACAAAACCAAGAATGAAAAGAAGGAACTCAGGATCCACCCAAATCTCTTCCTGGGACAACTTTCCTTTCTCCCAACACCTAATGCCAACTTATACGCAATGATAAGTAACCAAAACAAATTAAAAAGAGGAATTGACCACTTTCGAGCTGGTCAATTTGGTTTTAGGAAATGAAAAGAAAGCATGACTTGGAAGAAAACCAAACTTACAGGCACTCTGGTGGATACAGAGTAGTTGCTAGCAGCAGAAGGTAAGGTTGGTCTCTGTAGGGGTAGTCCTTCCTCCTGTATTACCCACCTAAGGAGTCCAAGTTCAGCTTCCAGAGTGTATCAGCAGAGAATAGACTCCCTGGCAGGGTGCCTGCTGAAGCTGCTGGCAACAAATGGGTGCTGTGGCCTTGTTTGGGATTTGTGGGTTTATGTGTTTTCCCAACCTGGGCTTCAGATAATTCTTTGTATGTGTGAACTCTGTGCCCTCCCAGGTCCCCTTTGTGCCCAAAGCTGACCAGCCCCAGGTTCAGTGCGCAACAGAAGCTATAGCACCCTCAAACCTTGGCAAGTGCCTGTTTAGGCAGAACAGACCTCTTTTAAACTGTTTAAAAGTTTTTTGATTGGAAAAACCCAACCACAGCTAATAATGGGACAAGAAGAGTTTGCTGAGTGCCCAGGCATTGGGCATCCCCACTGGACACAGCGGCGCCCAATTTTCAGCCAAGCCCAGCTGTCTGAGTTTGTCCCAGCTCAGCAGGCAGAAAATGAGAAGGGCCAATCCAGACCCTTTTGTTACAATCAAACAAGACCAAGAGTTTAAAGCAAATTGATGAGCTGAAAAGAAATCTGCAAAAACCACTCCTTAATTAGCCAAGGTCTGCTCAAAGCGCCCGAGGCAATTTCTGCCTGGATTTCACCTCTTTCTTCCCTTCTTCCTTCCCACCCCTCTTTGACATATATTCCCCCACCACTTCACATTTTAAAAAATATTTTTAACTCTACTAGAGTTTAAGCATCAGAGGAAGTTGGAGGCCAGATCTAGATGTATTTTAGCCCTTCGTCACTGTACAAGGGCAGAAGTGAGGATAGATACAGGAAAAGCAAACAGAGGGCCCTGGCAGACTGGCTGCTCAGGAAGTGTCCTGGGAGCTGGACAGGAGTGGGAGCCGGCTTGGGACTGCAGGCTCCACTTAGTGGTTCCCTCAGACAGTCCTGAGCCTGGGGGGAAGCCAGCTTGGCACCGGGGTGCGTGCAGCCGGCTTTGCCAGGGTGCTATGAGCATTTACACGCACACATGCACGGGCCACACACCCAGAGACACAGACACAATCCTACAGCAGGCAACCGGCCTCCTCCATGCTCCGGGACTCTCATTTTGCAGTCCGAGCCGTCCCAGGGGCGCGGATAAAAGGCTTGGCACGCCCGTCTCAGCCAGGGTTCGTCTTTGCTTTCCTGCTCCAGGCACCTCAGCACCAGGAACTCACACCGAGCCCTGTGTGGTGCTCAGGGCTGGATGCCGGCCGCCGGGAAGGAGGAGGCAAGGATCAAAGCGGCGACAAGGGTTTGTTAGTGAGGCCTCCCTCAGTCCCCCGGGGCGTCCTAATTGCTCGCCCTTCAGCCTCCCCGCTCGCAGGCTGTCCGGGCCTCGCGGGCGCCCAGCCGCGGGCAGCAGAACAGCTGCGAGGCCCGAGGAGCGTCCGCCCGAGGCCCGGCCCCTGCCGCGTCGCCGCCCAGCACTCAGCGCCCAGCGCTGCCCCGGGAAGACCCCTAGGAGGAGGGGGAGGGGCAGGCAGCAGGATCCCCACACCGGGTCAAGCTGGGCCTGCGGGCCGCCAGGACAGCTGGAGACCTTGGCCGTCCACTTAGCACCAGCAGCCTCCAAATACCGACTTTCTCCCTCGGCCTCACGGGCTGCTCTGAAACCATCCACTTAAAAAGGCAGGCACTCACACATATCAAATAATAGCTCAGAAGAGGCCAGCAGGAAAAATGAAGCTGTTTCTATACAAGCCAACCCCAAGTCTTTACAGATAGTGTAAATTCCTCATAGTCTAGGAGGAATTTTTTTTCTAAACCAAGTCAGGCATCTCATCATAGTACATTCCGCTTCAGCAAAATCAGCTCCCTTGGATTTCATCGCTTGTTAAAAAAAGATAAACTTTATTTTTGTAATTTTCAATCACAAAAAAATCTATATTTTTGTCTAAGCATTTATTTTACTGAATCAAAAAGACATGAAAAGAAAAATCATGTTTTTACTAACGTATATAAGTGACTCTTTTTTGGACAACATATAATAAATATGATATATCACTTATCACTCAGTCTTTCAAATGTACATTTTTTTCATATTATGAAGCATGCCACTTTTCCGAAAGAAAAAAGGTCATGAGAAATCAGTGCAAAGTTCTCAGTCACCCTCCTCTTTTTTCTGGGGCAGACGGAATGTCCACGGCATCGCCCTCTGCCTGGAACTTGAGGCTATCTGTCCGTCACCAATTCTCTCTGCCTGCGCGGTTTCCGCTCTGCTCCGTGCCTTTCTTTCTTCCCTCCTTCGCCCTCCCCCCTCCCTCCCTCCTCCTTGTCCCAAAAGTCAGTTTTTTTAAAGAACTTGAGGTTTTGTTTGTGTCGATGTTTTCACTTACTGGTCGCACTTTGTGTGGGTTCAGCGTTCACCGGTCACACTGCTGTAGGGGAGCTTTCCAACCCTATCTCAGGGGGTGAGGACGCAGAGCAGAGGGCTGGCTCCTCTTTGAGGGTCCCCCGCCCACTGGTGAGCCTCTTCTCTTCCTCTCTTTCTCCTCAGCCTCCCAGGGTCCGCTGCCGGGGAGGCCTGGTGGCCTAGTGCTGGGAGAGGAGAGGCAGCTGTCCGGGTTGGGGGGTTTGGGGTGGGATTGCAACACCTTTGCTCGGCCGGTTCTTCACCGGGGGTGCGGGGTGCCTGGGATGGGGCTGGACAGGGGATTGAGGGCGGGCTGTCCGCCGGGCCCCAGACCGTGGATGAGCACTCTGGGCACCAGGGGCCGCTGTAGCTGGGGATGGGGTGCCGGGGGAGTCCGGTACATGCTATTGTACATGGCAGCGGCGGCGGCCGCCGCCGTAGTGCTGTCCATGCTGCCCAGCAGGCTTGGGTGATAGAAATAAGGCGACGGGAACATCCTCTGCAGTGCTGAGTAGTTCCCCGCCTCGGCCAGAAGCTCCAGGCCCACCGCCGTCTGCCGTTTCCACTTGGTCCTGAAAGATAGCGGGGTACGGGCCCCCAGCAGCTGTGGACACTGTGCAGGCATCAAGACCTGGGCCCCTTCTCTGGCCCTCTCCCACCTCCTCCCTTCTCTCTCCCCCAGATGGCAGGAAGACTGGGAAACAGATGCCAACCAGGATGCATCCCATCTCCTGCTCCGGCCTTGCTAAACCAAAATAACCCAAAGTCAATTTCATAAATTACATCCTTACTAACTCACAAGTGAAGTCCTACGAGCTTTGCTGCCTTTTCCTATCCCACAGCTCTGCTGCTGTCCCCCTTATGGGCAGGCTACTTCCTGCTACTTTCCTGGGGACACAGACGGTCCTCTCTCTCTTCCTTCCCTTCCCACATTCCCCCCCCACACACACCATAATCCCAAAGTGTCCACTCTCAGTCCCTCTCCCTCTCCTCCAGGCTGAGAGAGAAGAAACCATAAACAAAGAAACACAGAGACTCCGGAGCCTCAGACCCCAGCCCCTCTCAGGCCGCAGGCTGTGGAGACACATCTCTCTCTCAGCCTGACAGGACCTTCCAGTAAGCAGAGGGCTTAGGGGGAAGAGGGTGACAAGGTCTCAAAACAGAATTCATTTCAGGGAGGACTCTCCCAAGGGCACAGTACCTCCCGGCCATTTGTTGGGGGGGGGGATGCATTTCAAGATATTTCCTCCTCAGGGAGAAAGCAACAATTAAAACCTGTGATCAGCTTTTCCCGTCTCCTCCCGCCCCAGCACACACCCAGCTATGAAGAAGAGATGAAAAGAGATGAGCAGGCGGTTTACTCAGATGCCTGATGAAGGAACGCAGGGCTGGTGGGCCATCCATACCCGGCAGCTCCAGCCAAATTAATAAACATGTCGCCCATTTTAAATTGGCTACAAATGACACTAATGTTTTCCGACAGAATTAGGGTGGCTGAAACCGTATGTAATGAGACAGAAAATTATGGTAAAGATGACAACTGGATGGGCATTTCTAACCACACTTATGGACGATTAGAACACAAACGAGAGAAGAGGAGGGGGAGAAAAGATCAGGATGCAGGAGAAGTGAGCCAGGCTTAGAGGACCCTCCACCTGGGATTGCCCAGTTCTGCTCTCGAGTTCAGGACCCTGCTGGCACTGCCAGCCTCTTTTGCTTTCCTAAGCATTCTTTCTTCACGTCAAGACGGAAGAGCAGAGGTAACCAGTACGGAGGACAGTCCTCCCGACCCCCAAAGCCGGACGCTTGGCCAGCTGCCCGATTCTCCAGGCTGTGGCTGCCAACCCAACTCTCACCCAGCTGGGCTCTCCTAGTCTCTGCAGCTACACAGAATAAGGCTTGGACCCTACCTCCTCCAGCCGCCTCACAGGCCAAAGCGAGGACATTTAAGCCAAGGCTGGTGGGACAGCTCTGTGGGGACTGCATCAGCCAGGCAGTATTGCCGACTATAGACATTTGGAACCAGCCTGAGGCAGGCCCAAGGGGTGCCACCACACAGGCTCTCTGTGCCTGAGTGTCAGCTGCACAGATGTCTCAATTTGAGAAGGTGTTGCTTGATTGATTTGGGGATCAAGGGGGGATCCCAGCAACTCAGGTTTCATGGGAAAGTAGCACCTGATAAGATACTTGGACACTTAGAAGTGCTAAGTATAAATTCCAGCTGTCCTTCCTTCAGTCCCTCTCACCTCAGGTGGGGGAGTATGTGGCTAATTCCTGCCTCAGGTCGAATCACCCAGGCACCCACTCCAGACTGTCTGACTCTTAGTTCCTAGAGTCTCTTGAGGCTGGGAGAGAAGCCTGGTCTGATGGTCATGACTTAAAACAGCCTCCCTTACCTGCGGTTCTGGTACCAGGTCTTGACTTGGGTGTCAGTGAGGTTGAGCGCAGCAGCCAGGTCCATGCGGTCTTGCACACTCAGGTACTTCTGCCGCTCAAAACTACGCTCAAGTTGATTGAGCTGATGGTCGGAGAAAGCTGTCCTGGCTTTTCGAGGCTTCTTTGCTCTCACGGGCGGACTCTCTCGACTACTTGTAATCTCTCGGTCTCCTTCCTCCTTTGTTCCTATGATAAAAACCCAGCCACAGCCATAAGTTAGGCTAGAGTGGGGAAGGATAGAGTGTCTGTCCTTGGCACACACTGCTAAGTTCCCAAGCCAGCCGCTGCTCTCAAGGGACTACACTCTGCCACCCCCTCACACATATATTTGGGACGAAGAGGACCACTTTCTGACTGGAGAGTATGAGGCCTTGTTTGGAGGTCCTAAAGGGAATCATGGCCGATCCTCACGTGGTTGATAGTTAAAAAGAAAAAAAAAAAACATACTTTCCAATAAGGAGTTCTTTTTGTTATTGTTTCCTTGATCTGAGGGAGACACTGTCCTTTTTTTTTTTTTTTAATGTTTTCATTATGACTTAAGTTTCTCTGATTTGGTACTTTTCAAAGGGTCTTCCCACTCCATTGGAGGGAGGGGAGGACCATCTCCATTTTACTTTTTTCTTTCTACTGAGAGTTACAGGCATTGGTTTCTCTTTTTCAGATGCACTTGGGAAATGTTGGAATCAAGCTTTCTGCAGCCACCTGCATCAGGTCTTTTAAAGCTTCCAAAAGAATTTGTCACCCAGGCACCGAGCTAAGCTCAGAATCACTGTGCCCATCCAGGTGACAGCACGGAGATTTCCGGATTCTATTTGTCAACTTTGGTTTTTTCCTGAAATGCTGGGAAATCGATATGTCAATCCCTCTCTGTTTGTACCCGTTTGTGCAGTGCTCCTTGATCTTCCCTGCAGGAAGAACAATAATCTCTCTAATTGACCCACTGGGGAGGTTGCTGCACAAAAAATCGCCAGACCAGACTGTACATCTGTTTTGGACACTATTATGCTAATACTATAATAGTAAAATGAGGAGCAATATCCTACCTTCCAGACAGTCAGCATATATCTTTACCAGAGAAACAGGATTAATAATAAGAAGGATAATAAACTGACCAGTAAAGGGGGGGGAACCCTCCTGGTATGCTAAAACTCTTGTCATGCAAAACCCACAACATTTACTTATGAAATTGTTGGAGGAGCAAATGTAAAAAGGGAGCTGAAGGACAATTCGTTTGTCATCTTCTGATTTTCAAAAAAACTCAATTCCATAAATTTTTTATAATTGCCACCTCCTAATTACTTGCAAGGGGCCCAAAAGCTTCCTAAGATACAGATAATCCAGACGTGGCCATGGGGAAAGAAGGATGTTTCTGAAAACTTGATTATAAATTTTTACTGTCTTCCCCATATTAATCACAATCTAATTTTTTGAAAGTTGCTGTTAATCGAAACAGAAATTTGTTTGTCATTAAATCCTGTAATTCCAGTGATGGTGTTTGGAAAATAAGATGTGGGGATGGGGAATGAAATCATCATTTGCATTAAACAATAAACACCAGTTTGCTTATTCACACTCCAAGACACCACTTGCTTGCTGAGCTATTTCTCTCTTCCACCTCCCCCATTCCCATTCCCAAGGTCTCGGCTAGGAAAACCTCAAGTCCGTCCCTTTGATCAACGAAAAGTATTTCCTTCACCGCTGTTCCCCCCGCCGAGAAATTAAAATTATGTAAAACAAAGAAAGGAGCTGGACGGCGGTGACGGCTGTGGGGTGGAAATGTAACAATAAACAGAACTTCGAACGAGTTACCAAATCGCACGCCCAGGCCTCCCTCCAGCTTGCAGTCTTGTGACGGTCGCCCCATCGCCGGAGAAGCTCCGGGGAAAACTCCCCAGCAGAGATTCACCCGAGGCTGAAGGGGAGAAGAGGAAACTGGAGGAGAAGCTGGACGGCTGGGAGAGCTAGGGTGGCGCAACTCACCGTGGCATTTGATGTCGCTCTGGGAATCTTCCCGCTTGTCGAGTTTGGTTTTGCTGTCCTCCTGCTCGAGCTTTGGCCTGAAGCTCTCGTGCACTACATTGCTCTCCTGCTTCGGGGTGTGGTGGGGAGAGGAGACGCTGGTGCTGTAGGGTGCACACGCCGCCAGAGGTTTGCTGTCGCCCAAGATGTCCTTAATTAAAAAAGAAGAGGTGGAAGTCCTGGGGGCCGAGGCGGCCGAGCCCAGCTGCTGCGCGGACTGTGGCTGTTGCGGCGGTGGCGGCGGCGGCGGCGGCTGCTGTTGGGGCGAAGGCTGCAAACTTTGCGTCGGGGCCGCTGCTGGAGGCGGAGGCTGTTGGCTATGGTGAAGGTGGTGGTGATGCTGAGGCCCGTCTGCTACTAGATGCGGCTCCGGGGGCTCCATGGTGACGGAGATCGGAGAAGAAGGCGCCGTTCCTACGGTATCAATCTCCGAACAGGGGGACGGGGTAGCCTGACTCCTAAAATCCGCAGTCCTGGCCTCACCGAGCGGGCGGAAATCTCCATTCATCATGCCGGGACTGCCCGAACTGGCACTGGATAAAATCGTATCTATTCCAAAACTCGACCCGCTGGCCCCTTCCATTGTTGTCATTTCTACATGAGGTCCACGCCACTCCGCCGTTCAGCAGCCGCCCAGAACCAGCAAAGGAAGCTATCAATCGTAAAACAAAATAAACACTAAATATTGCCGCCGCCTTAAAAAAAAAAAAAGTGAGGCGGGGGAGGAAGGCTAATTGGGAGGTGACAATCACTGGACACTTTCGACACAACTTTTTTTTCCCTTCTGCAAAAAGTAGGGGTGGGAAGAAAGAAAGACGAAGGGAAAGTTACAAAAATTTTTGAAAAAACACAGAAGATGAGCTGGGGGAACGACTGCGCACGTGGGGCGGCGGTGGCGGCGCCCGAGACCCAGACGAAGGTGCAGGCGGCAGGAAGCGACCCCTACGCCGCCGCCACCGCCGCTGCCACCGCCGCCTGGGTCTGACCACAGCCTTGCACGGGGCGGCGGCGGCGGCGACGGATGTGGCAGGTGCAGCGACCGCGAAGCCCGGGCAGCCGCGCGCCCTTGGAGCTCCCCCGCGGCTCCCGAGGTGGCCGCTGCGCGCGACTCCGCCGCCCTGGAGCCGAGTTTCCCAACTTTCTTGGAAAGTTGTGGAGCAGACACGGCCGCGGTGGCAGCGGCAACCAGAGCTAGAGGAGGAAGAGGAGGAAGAAGAGAAGGAGCAGGCGCGGGCGGAGGAGACGGCGGAGACGCGGCGCCGGGCGACTCCGGCCGCTGCCGGGCGCGTTCGCTTGTAATCCGGCGGCTCGCGGGCGGCGCCGACCCCCTCCCGTGACGTCACGGCCACTGTCGCCGCTCCCCGCGCCGAGCCGCGCCGGGCCCGCGCCCCCGCCACCGAGGCCGCGCGCCCGGCCCCGCGCCCCCATTGGCCGCGCCGGTGCGAGCGAACGACGCCGACGTGCCGGGAGCCAATGGGCGCGCGGCTCGCGAGTCCGTCAGCAAAGCGGCTAGGACCCGCTGCTCTTTTGAGAACCCGCGCATCCGTGTGCCTGCAGCCCTGAGCCAAACGTCTAGTCCAGTGGTCCCGCTGTCCACAATCACGAATGAGGGACAAGAGGAGGGGGGAGAGCAGAGGGAGGCTAGAGAAAAGCAACCAAAGGGGAGGAAAGAAAAAAACAGTAAGGATTCCCCCCTAAGAAGTTAAATGAAAGAGGACAAGAAGGGAAAAGGAGTTGGGCCGACTTACCTTTAGATGCCAGCGCCGCCGCTCTCGCAGCCTCCCCAAACGCGCTGAAATAGTGGGAAGACACTAGAGCAAAGGAGGGGATCCCGGAAAGAACCCACCGAAGTCGTGTAACTTCAGGAGTTGGAGCTCTGGATGAGTGGGCAGGATGGCTCCAAGCTCTGATTTCTCTGTCCCCAAACAAACCCAGGCGTTCGGGCTGGGCCCAGCGGCTTGGTCCCTAAGGAAGACACAGCCAGGTCCTGGGCCCGGGCACTGTGGGGGAAGACCCGGCCCTCGGCTCAAAACTGGGGACCCAACTTGTCTCCAATGAAAGCCCGTGAGGAAGAAATGCCTGGCCAGACACTTTCTCCTGATCCGGGGAAATAATGCCCGAAGCGTTCTGTAGTGGCGAGGGTAGCCGGGGTTCCCTGTGGCGTTAGGCTGCGTGGGGCTCAGGAACCGAAGCGGTGGGTCTGCAACCTGTGTCACAGCCGAACCACATGCCAGTTCTTTCAACACCCACCCCTTTCGGCCAGCCGCTCATTTGGAAAGGAAACAGTCACTGTGGATCCACTTGGGACCCGAAGCATGACTGTGACGCCTCGTCGGAGGGTATCAACTTGCATTATTTTCTCTAGGACGTCTCCAACCCGTCTCTTGTTGAATGTCAGAGTAATGGGAAGTGCCAGTGACAAGACGGCGTATTACTCCTGATTAAGTGCCGTGTCAACCTAATTAGCAGAGTAATTATAAGGTGCTAATGAATGATTCAAAGTTCTTTGAGTTACAATTTACTCCAAATTACCATTTTAAGAACCCTATGAATCTGCGGGGCTGGCATTGCTTCCGTGACTAGATGCAGAATGATGTTAGAAAATGGCCTTTTAAGTCTCCAAGGGCTGGGCTGAAATCTGGGGTTTAGTTGCAGTTCTGTAGGTCGTTTTCTGGGCAACAGCTTTTTGCTATTGAGCTCGAGGGGAGGAGGGTCAGGGAGGCAAGTGACCTCCTGGGACAAGATCTTCTCTATCGGTAGGAACTGCTTCTGTGTGAACCTTAGGTCCGGAAGGACGTAGGGGGGACACTCGTCCTCCTCGTGTGTTCCTGGAGAAATGGATGTATTTGACCCAGAAAAAGCCCGCGCTATTTCGAGGGTGTGTTGAACTGCTTTTTATCATCTGAGTGCCATTTTTCCTAGGGCTGCGTTTGAGAATAGTGGGGAGAGGTAGAATCCGCCCAGCTCTGGCTTTTCTCAGAAGGCGAGGGGAGTTTGGTGGAGAAGGAGCCCAGGGTTGTTGGGGGCGCGGGACGGACTGCAGGCAAAGCTAGCCTCGGGGGCCAGAGAGTCCCTTGGGAACCTGTGGCCGCAGAGGGGTCCGGCCACCCCTAGGCTGGAGAGGGGTAGAACCCACCCACCTTTGGCCTGGAAACTGAGTACCGACCAGGTAGACTCTCCAGAGAGCTTTTGGGCCAGGCCTTGGCCTTCTGGACCGGGTAATAGAACCACAGAGCCCGGAAGTACAAGGGCAACTTACCAAAGGTCTCAAAGCCGGGCCTGTAAGGACCGGCGCTGCTCACCCTCGTGGCCTGGGCACCCCCGGCCTCCTGCACAGTTGACCACTGCAGGGAGGGGGGAAAGGGCATAAGCGCTGCCAAGACTGCAAAAGGACACTACACGTGTCTCCCGCTCTTCACAGATCGATTAGGGTGCTTCCATTTTTTTTTTATCGCTCCCCAACTTCCTGAATGAGGTGCGTTTTCTCCTAGCCCTGGGGTCTCCAACTTCCACTCCCTTCTCTGAGAGTATTCAGGATGTTCGAAAGTGGGGAGGGGGAGAAAACAAATTTAAAATCCAGAACTGACGGCACTGCACAAATCAATCATTCTCGACCTTGATAAATAATTCATTTAAGCCTGTTTTTGTTTTGTTCCGACGCCTAAAATGACTCAAGAGCTCAAAAGGCTGATCGCACAGCTTGTGTTGGGCGGTTCGAAGGGTTTTTTGCTTGGAATAATTCACAACATTGGCAGGGGAGACGGTGGAAATATGACCCTACGAAAAATTGAAACCTGAAAAGAAAGGGAGAGAGGAACATGGGCTTGCTGGGGGCAGGACAGTAGGTGTTTTATGACAACTCTAAAGCAAAGCAAACGGGAACTCAGTATTCCTCACTTTGTGAATGTCTCAGATCATATTTTCTTAAGAAAAGGCTAATCTCATAGAAGATTTTTCTGGGTGCGTGTTAGGAGATCAGTTTCCCTCTTCCCAGAGCGACAATGGTGAGAGGAAAGCATGACCTTGACTTTTATCATGGTGCCCATATTTGGATCACTCCAGAGAGAAAATGCTAGTAGTGGCCTGAAAATTCAAAACAGGACCCTGAGAACCAGATCACAAACTTAAGGAAAAACAAATTCTTCAGAGCTGGAGTCTTGTTTAACTTTTCTTAGTTCTTTCTTCTCCAGACACATTCCTCTTTTGCCATTTTTCTGAGAGTACATGTAATGTATACATCCAAGAAGTCATGCATTTTCTGGCAGAGTAACCATAACTCACTTTTCATTTTCAAAACTCACAATTCAGAAATATAGTAAGAGTGTGGATTAATGACATTTCCAAATCCATTACCTGGATTTCATCTCAGATGTCCTCACTGAATATAAAATACAAATAAATAAAGCCCCGAAACAGACATGAGTTTAAATATAATCTTTCACTTTCAAACCTTAAAAAAAAAAAAGCAGAGAGAGAAGTAAGACAAATTGTTTAATGTTTTGAAAGATTTTGGAATTATTGCCCAGAAACAGTGAATTGCCATCCGTGGATAACAGAGAACAAACGTTTTCTTCCTGGCTCTGAAGGACACATCAGTGCCGATCAGCACCAAAGATACTCCTTTCTGAAGGCAGAGAATAATTCAAACACTAGCTTATTAACAAATTCTGTCTCTTACTACAACCCTCAACTATCTATCTGCTTTCACCACCTAGATTTGGTATCTAGGATTGTGTTTAAACTGGAGCATCGGGAGTTTCTTAATGGAACTTAACTTTGAAGAAACTCACCCACAAACTAAGGTGAACTTAGAAGGGTTGTTTCTTTTTTGTCATATTTAATCTGAACGTTTCTAAGGGTCCCTATGACAATGCCAGCTGATGGGAATGAGGTGCAAAGGCAGTTCTGTCCACTGGGCGGCGCCAAGAACTCCGAAAGGAGGGAGCCGGCTATTGTTTCTTTCTATAAAAGATGCAAGATACACAAATGAGTTCTCTACCTTCTAAGGACACCCTGACGACCTTTCGAAAAATGACCTTTTCGTCATTTCAAAGCAACAGACACGTCAGAAGTTTTCTCTTTTTTTTTGTTTCCGGTCTTATCAATATGTTTTTAACTGCTTCGGATGTGATGCATATTTGTTTAGAAAAATAATATATGAAAGAGAAATATCCTCACAGTTGTAAAGAGAGAGGGAAGTAGGGAAGAGAGAGAGAAAGATAGAGAGATGAAAATAACATCATCGAGTGCCTTAAATAGACTGAAACAGAGAGAATGGAGATTGGGAGCAGAAACGAGAAAGGTAAAATATGGAAGAAATAAGAAGAAAAAATACCGTAACTGAAAAGTATTTTAACAGGAACAAGTTAAAATGAGAATCTGTGTAATCACTGATTGTTCTGGTGGGGATGGAAGTTTTGAGACATAGTTCTGGTACTATAATAAAATTTCCAAGAGCCGTAAGCATACCCAAATTGTTAAAGATGCGCAGTTTGAAAGTGATCTAGTGAACCTGGCTCTCCCTGGGGGATGGACGTGTATTAGGGTTAGGATTACAGTTACTAATTGGCAGGAAGGTAAGCAGAGATGTAGAGGAAAGGATGCTGGACAGGGGAGTTTTAGTCCAATTTTACT